GTTTGGAGGAGAGAGAGTAGGAGGAAAAAACCCGGATGGGTGGAAGGGGGTATTTTTGTTGAACCAAACGACCTTGAGACAACATTATAATATTGGCCCAAGAAAGAGTTTACCTGAAGAGAATAAGTACCAGGTACGGACAAACTGCACCACCCCTACAACCAAAAAAAAAAGCTTGAGACTTAAGCCATTTTTTCTGTTGTTCTTAAGTTAAAGGGTAGAAAGAACTTGGGAAAGAATTAAAGAGTGCGTATGGGTTTATCACCCATAACGTCCATAATCTATAGGACCGAACCAAAAGGACTAAAAGCCTTGAAAACTCCACAAAACGACGCGAGTTTAAGAACTCTTAGTCTTGGATTCGAACAAGGGCCAACCGCTTCGTAGTCTAGCCCGATACCTACTGAGCCAACAGTACACCCTTAAAAAGAATGAGAAAACAAAAAGAATACTATCATATACAGTGAGAAAGGACCCAATGTTTACTCTTTGCTTCAAATACTTTTTTCCACTACCCTTTTTCATAGACTTCTTTTTAATTTATTGATCTATGGTCAGCGATGGAGACGAATCAATACTGACTATCGATTTTGGGAGTGGAAAGACTATTGTCGTTGCACGCGTACAGTTTGGCCCTTGAGCACAAAGCGTGGTCCCGCTCGATCGGCCACCAACAAAAGGCCATTGTTTCGAGAATAGTTTGATCGACTGGAGTTCTGCCTAGAAGGTTGGAGTTGTTAGAACGAACATCCAGGAAAACGTTCGTTTAACAAAGGTGAAAAAGCCTAGAAACATTTGTGAGTTGACAAAGAAATTGCCAGACTCAGTCCACTCAATCGATAGCAGGATAGATGAAACTCATAAAAATTGAACATCGTCCCTAAAAACAGCTATAGGACAGTTGAGCTAAAGAATTTTTTGATTAAGGCGATGCCGATTAAGCGTAACATCTTTTTAGCGATTGTACTCAAGAACGTGCGGGACTTGGCAGAGAATACCCCCTCCCCCTTTTCCCCCATAGAACTGCTCAAATGCACCCCCCCCCCACCTTTCTGCCATACGAGTTCAATCACAGCATTTCTTTTAATCACTCTTCAGCTTCCTCTTCAGAAATAATCAATAAAAAACATTTTCAGAATGCCCCTTTCCTTGCTACAAAGGCGAAATGCTCTTTCTTCACATTCATGGACTGGTTGGTAACGATACCGATTCTCAAAGTCTAGAGCACGTCGTGCACAGGGTATTGGATTAAAACCCTGAGATCAGACTCTTCAAGGTACTTGGTAGTTGTTCCTTTAAAATGGTATGTGGGTGGTTGGCGGGTGCTCTGGTATGGGTTGCTCCTTCTTTCATATAATTAATCTATCGTCTTTATCTCTTTTTTATTTTTTAATTGCGTATAATGTTATAATCTAGTAACGCCTCTAATCATCGACATTTATATGACCTAGTTGCACTGCAAGTGCCGTAAAACTCTTATTACTACTAAATTTAAAAAATGGTGTGGCAGGTCCTCAGTAAGGTTGCCTGGCTGGAGTAGAAATGCTTGAGGTTGATGTGTAAATGTTCTGTTCGATGGTAGGCTGCTTCAGCCCTGCTTGTCAGGCTGAGAAGGTTACAGCTTTCCATCAGACAAGCGGAGATTGAAGAAGCTTCATCAAATAAATTCCCCTTTCGGAAATCGAACTCAAGTCTTCCGTGTATGAAGTAGAAGCGTCAACCTTTCTCACACATTAGGCGCCACTCTAAACTGCCACTGAGAGCTTGGAAGGGAGACTGTTCCGTTAACAAACTAACATTATGAGAGGGGAGACGTACATTTAGAAATTAATTTCTGTGTCTAACTGTAGTTTATTGTATGAAGTCTTCGTGGTATCTTCATGACATCTGCCCCTGAGCAAATGGAGGACACTGTAATATACAAGACAACACCCCCAGACTTGTAGCAGGGGGAGAAAGAGGTCACCATCCTCAATCTTTGCCTCTTGGCATCAAGGCCTTTTCCGTTTGTTTTTTCCAACGATTAAATTAAAAAATAGACTGAAGGCCATCGACCGAGATAATTTTTGCATAACTCTGGGCCAGATTCGCAGAAGTGTCTACAACAACAACAAAACAATATCAGCATAAGCTCTATTTAGTTTTTTCCTTCACGTACAGTACCCAAAATCTAATATTTCTCCACACCACTTTATTATAAATTATAGAGCTGTTGCCAAAGTAGAAACAAGCTAAAAAAAGAGTACGGGCATAGGCACTAGATCTAGGAAGTTATGGTCTTTCATAAAAGTACGTCTTGTTCGAGACACAAACGTTCTGGGTCAAGTCACAGTAACCACCACGGCTTCATAAAGTACGCAATCTCAGCTCACAGTGAGCACTCACGCAAAGGTTAACCAGGTGTTAAGGTGAGAAAGAAAATGCAGAAAATGAAGTGTAATACTGGACTTGACATTAGCCA